TCTGCTCCCCACTCTGTCTCTGGTGAAGCCTCTCACCGCCCCTGAGCCTCTGGCCTGTACCCCAGTTCTGTATGAATAAATAAATCTTTAAAAAAGAAAAGTATAATTGCATCTGCTGTGCAGAATAACTTAGATGCTAACATTCTACAGGAACAGGGTGGTTCCCAGGGAAAGGGAAGGTTCCAGGTTCCCTGCCTCACCAAAGGAAGGGTAGAGAAGAACAGGGAGGAGAAGAAGCTGGAGAAGACTGGAACCAAGAAAGATGGAGAGCCAGAAAGGGACCTGGAGGAGGCACAGGGAGCAGAGAGACATGTGAAGAAATTACGCTTGCTTCTTGGTCTTGGACTTGTTGAAACAAATGTGGGTAAGAGAACTGTGGGGAGATTAAAAATGTCAGCTTTTGCTTTATTTACAATAGGAAAGACATGGAATCAACCCAAATGCCCAAAAGTAGATGACTGGATTAAAAAGATGTGGCACATATACACAATGGAATATTACTCAGCAATCAAAAAGAGAGAAAATACATGCCTTTTGTGGTAACATGGATGGAGCTGGAAGGGATCATGCTTAATGAAATAAGCCAGAAAGAACAGGGAAAATACCGGATGGTTTCACTCATAGCAGGAGTATAAAGGACCAGGGGAGAAAATAATATTATGAACAACTATATACCAGAGACATTTTTACAGGAGTGGACTGGGGAATGAGGTAAAAAACGGGGGTGGGAGGAAGTGCACTGGACTATGGTGATGGCACACAGGTGAATTGGTGGTCGGAACCCACAGGGATTACAACTGAGATAGAAAAAGGCACAAAATGCTGTAAAAATAAACCATTATTTAAAAAAAAATGGCAGCTTTTACCTTGATTTTGCTTCTTCTGTCCTAGATATGTTGGGCTCCCTCCATCCCCTTTTCTTATGTGTCTCCCCTTTTCTTATGTGTCTCCACCAGAGACACATAGCCATGTAGCAGGCTTTTGGGCCTTCATGGCCCTGCTCTTGGCCAACCCTGTTTGGCTGGGCATTAATCCAACTTCAGGTGCTTGACTTGGAAACTTTATTCTTCCCATTTCCTGGATTGCACACTAATTGTGTTAGAGTCCCTTTCCACTAGAGATGTTTTGTCTTGATGTGGTGGGTGGCAGAACCTATTCACAGTGGGTAGGTTTAGGGGTTTTGGGATGTCCCTCACCCTGTCCTGTAACACAAAAGTATTTGATTGCTTTATTAACTGGCTCCCAAATGGGCAAAACTGGGGTTCTTTAAGTATAGTATGAAAGAGGTAATATATATGGAGGCTGATGTTAAAAGAGGCACCTAGATGAGCAATAAGCTAGACAACCAAGCTGAAGAAGAGGGATATGTTAGATACCACCAAGACACACAGGTTGCCTCACACCAATAGGACAATAATCTTCCATTATATCCCTGACTGGTAATGTACTGAGCTGATGAGCAGCAACTTTTCTCTTCTGGATTTCCTTAAGTGTTTTAAATTCGGACACTATCTGATAGTACTGCCCTCAGCAAAATCTATAGTATTTTTTTTTTTTTGACAAAAGGGATTAACTTATACTAATTAATTTAAAAACAAAGTTGCTTACCGAATAACTAAAAGGTTTTAAGCATGCTATGTCCATGCTTAAAACATAAATATATAAAGCCACCAGAATTTATATATCACCCATAATTCTCTTCCAGTGATAAATCATGATGTAAACAATGAATGCACTTCAGTTAAAGACACACTTAAAATTCTGGAATTAAAATATATACAAGGGAGTAGCTCTTCTTTCTCCTTAACTCCTTTCCTTATCTTTGACCTCCTTCCTCCCCTGCTTCCCAACTTTCCCCCCACTACTGCTACCACTACAGCCATCATCACCACCATCACCAAACATCACCACCATGTGGAGGTGAACATGGTTGAGTCTATACTGCCAGGCAATTTATATATGCCAATATCACACTATTTATGACAGATCTACTCCATCCCCGTATTACAGAGCAGGAATACTAACTAAGCTCACACAGATGGGGTATCATAGAGATGGGTGTCAAGCCTAGGCAAGGTAAACTAAGGATTTCTTCTTTGAATCACTAAAGTTTTATAGCTCGGTCAAACTTTAGAAAAGAATTAATCATTTTAGGTAAGAGCTCTCATTCAAATGAACAGTCTCTTATTGAAAGTAAACCATTAATTAATAAAATATTGGCAAACAAATTATCAGAATCATCTCTATTAAAGCAAACAAAAGGTTGTTAACAGTGTGTATATTTCTCTTGGTTCAATTTATGTTCCTTTTCCTTAACACAGTCTAAAAGTGGATATGTTCAGAATCACACCTATGTCTGATTTTTCCGGACATGAAAAATATTTCTAACTTAGATTACTTAGTAAAGTAGTGGAAAAAGAGAGCAAAGTATAACGAATTGCATAAAATTATGAGTTATATAGCTATATGTATTTTTTTTTATTTATTAAAAAGTTTATTTTTACATCATTTTGCACTTTTTTTTTCATCTCAATTGTAATCCCCACGGGTTTCCCATCACCAAATCACCCCTGTGCCACCACCATAGTACCGTGCATTTCCCTCCCTCCCCCCCCCCCCGTTTTTGGTCCCATTCCCCACTCCACCCCCACAGAATGTCTCTGGTCTATGGTTGTTCATTATTTTTGTTATTTTCTCGCCTGGTCCATTATACTCCTGCTATGAGTGAAACCATCCGGTATTTTTCTTTCTCTTTCTGGCTTATCTCACTAAGCATGATCTTTTCCAGCTCCATCCAAGTTGTATAGCTATATGTATTTTTAAGTACACAACATAAGTCAAAGCAATGTACTAGGATTGTTGCTTCTGGAGAATAAAATAATCAAAAATTGCTTAGTAGGAGATAAAAGGAAATTAATTCAATAAAGATTCTCAATGTCCACTATGTGTGAGGCATTGTAATTTAATGACCACAAAGAAAGGTTTATAATTAGATTACATATTTTCAGTGTACACTGATATATCCAAATTGTTTTAAAAATCATGCACATCATTTCCAGCAAATAAGCATTCAGAAGCATTCTCAATGTAGTTTATACTGTTCGTTTACTGGACAACTTCTGTTCTTGATTCTGATCCCTACTACACAATTAAAATTCAAATTATCAAACATTAAATTAATGGGGCTTTATTGTTATTATTAAAATTCTACTCAGCTTTCTCCTTCATATTCTAAATACTCTGAAATCATTTCATCTTTATTGAAGGAGGAGTGTACCATTTCCTAACTACTTAATTGCATTAAATGGTTTCCTTTGGATCCTATTAATTTTCTTTTTGCTTTTCAAAATGGGGTGGCTCCATGTGGGTATAATAAAGGCCCCATAAATGCTGAGAGGTAATAATAACATTAACATAAGCACTGCAGCAGTCCCAACCACCCACATGTGGAGACTTTGGTACAGACACTGTGCTAAGAGGTGTCTGTGTGTGTGTGTGTGTGTGTGTGTGTGTGTGTGAGAGAGAGAGAGAGAGAGAGAGAGAGAGAGAGAGAGAGAGAGAGAGAGAGAGAGATGGCTTGAACTTTGTGTGACATTTCTTGACAGACAACATCTTAAACACTTGAGTTGCTGGGCTTTCCTCATTTCTATTAACGTCCCCTTATCTAACTTGAATTTTAATCTGTCGATCAACAGAAAGGGTGAGGAAACCTTAAATGGAGAATTTCTTGGTGTCTGTAACTTCAGGGTGAGTAAACCAGAAGATGTTGTGTTAATAGAGATATCAGAGAAATAGTAAGTTTTGCCCCCTGGACATAAGAGTGAAAAACTTGAACGTCAGAAGGTGCAAGTGAGTAGGGCTTCTTCAGGAGCAAAGGAGCCACACCCGTGAACTAAAGGGATGGTGAAGGAAGGAATATATACAACTGCGGTGTAGGCCAGAGGTGCAGGGGGTAAGGATTCACCTCTTGCAGAATGAGAGGAACAAAGTGGGGAACATAACAGACAGATTGACTGAAACACACTGCTGAGGGACCAGCATGTGGGACAGGAGAGGTCTGCTGTGCTATGTGGGTCAGCTCCCTGGCTGGGGATTGAACTAGTGTTGCAGTGGCTGCAGGCAGCTTCATAGTGTTGTGCTTTAACTCCTTGTGCCACCAGGGAATATTTCAATTTCTTATATTAGTGCCTATATCTGGGGGTAGAATTACTCCTTCATCCTGGGGGAACTCTAGAATGGATAGGTCCCTGAGGTAACTAAAAAGAAGGACAAAAACAATGATCACCATCAACACAAAATAAAAGTGACCAAACACTCAGACTTTAGCTACTGTGTTGAAAATTTAGTTTTTTGAAATATAATAGTGAAATGAAGTAGGTGATTTATTACTCCCATTTTACAGACAACTGAAGCCCAGAAGATAAAGAATGACAGCAACAGTTAGTCTACTGCCTCAGGTACATCACCTAAAAAGAATTCAGATTTACCTCTCCTTGCAGTCCAATAACAGAGACTCAAACCACAATCCACTGCTGCTGTGGCAATGGTGGCTATGACCAATGAGGATTCCCAGTCTGATTCACTTGATCCACAGAACTCAGTCAGCTAACAGGAAAATATAGAGCCACACACACCTGGCTTGATGACGGCCCACATCTCCTTCACCCTGGACATTCTTACAATGATCTGGTAGTCTGTTTTCCTGCCTATCCTCTGATGAAGACATCAACAAGTCAGTAGGTATAGTGAATGGTAAAAGGAGTTTACAGATTCTGTTATATTTATTACAGGATCATCATATTTTAAAAACGTAAAACACCAATCTGCAAATGCAAATACAAATAATCAAAACAAAGTTTACTCTCATGAGTGATAGTTAAAAAAGAAAACTATAGCTTTCGTATAAATGATTGCGATAGACAAACCAAAGATAAAATAGCTCACACAAAACCATATCAAGAAGAGATCTTAGATTTTAGGGAACCAAATATATGTCTTACCTGATAAAAACCAGTTTGACCTTTGATGGGGCAGTCTTAATAATGGCAGATGCATTTTGGTGACTTCTTCCATATAGGATTTGATTATTGATCTGGTTGGGAAAAAATGAAATGCACTTGTAAACATGCATTATTTTATAGAAAAACAGACCATGTACATATCCCTATGTAATACAAGTATACATGTATGCATTTGAAATTTAACAATGAACCCGTTCAGTTTTAAGTGGGTACATGTAGGAGATTTAATGCTGAAATTCTTAATATTCTTTGTAGTATAGATTAAAATCATAAACAGCAATTAAAATCTCTTTCAATTTAGTTTTGAGTGCAGTTAATAAATTATACACAGCCCCCAGACCCTTTTGCTAAATTTCAAGAGAGCAGTAGTTGAACTATGCAAAAGCTTTATGATGATTTTTCATTTCCTACAGCTTTTCCAGATTCCTAAAAATGTGGAAAACAGACCAAACTGTGGTATTCACTGCAGCTCTGGAGGGCCCATTAAACATGATTATGTAAACATGTCAAAGTTATTACATTGCATAAATTTTGTTACTGCAGGAGGTAAATATTATATTCCTGTTTTAAGTTAAAATTTAGGTCAACTGCACTGAAACATTTTACTGTACATGATCAATAAGCCATCTGCTTTTATCCAAAATTTTAACTTGACTAGGTTCAACTAATTGTGCTATAAAACATTTACATTAAAAAATTTTTCACTTCAGATTTTCCCACTGACAAACTATAATGACAGTCATAATCAATCTTTTATTTCATGAAATTGATAACAGTTCACACAATTTTGGTCCCCCACCCCCTACCTCCATCCCATGATCTAATTGATACTATAGCTATTTAACTTAGCCCCAGTTTCTACTTCTTTTTTTTTTTTTAAAAAAAATTTTTTTAGGCCCTCCCAGGTGGCACAGCGGATTAAAGCACAGCACAAAGAAGCTTAAGCCACTTCTGCATTAGTTCGATCCCCGCCTGCCCAGGAGGAGATCCACATGGCGTGGCAGACCTCTCCTGATCTTTAAAAAAA